ATATATAATAGAATATTATTCATCATTAAAAAGAAGGAAATCCTGTCATTTTCAACAATATGGATGAACCTGGAGGGCATTATGCTACGAAAGACAAGCCAGACACGGAAAGACAAATACTTTTTGATCTCCTATGTGAAGTCCAAAAAGTCAAACTCATAGAAAAAAAGTAGAAAGTTATTTACCAGTTGGCCAGGTGTGGTAAAATCGGGAGATGTTGGTCAAAGAGTACAAAATTTCAGTTGTTCAAGATGAATAAGTTCTGGAGACCTAATATACAGCATGGAGACTGCTATGGTTTGAATGTTTTGTCCCCTCCAAAATGCATGTTGAAATGTAATCCCCAGTTCAACAGGATTCAGAGGTATGGCCTTTGGGAGATGTTTGAGTCATGAGGGCTCCACTCTTGTGAATGGGATTCGGTGCCCTTGTAAAAGGGCCTGACAAAGGGAATTTGTCTCTTTTTGCCCTTCCGATTTCTGCCGCATAAGGACAAAGCATTCCTCCCCTCTGGAGGACACACAGTTTAAGGCATCATCTTGGAAGCAGAGACAGAACCCTGACCAGACACCTAAACCTGCCAGTGTCTTGATCTTGGACTTCCCAGACTCCAAAACTGTGAGAATAAATCTGTGATCTTTATAAACTACCCAGTCAGTGATACTCTGTTATAGCAGCACAACAGACTAAGAGAGGGACTATAGTTAACGATGCTGTATTATATATTTCAAATATCCTAAGAGGGTAGATATTAAGTGTTCTCACCACACACAGGAAGAAAATGGAAATTATGTGAGGTTATCAATACATTAATTAGCTTGTGCTAATCATTTCACAATGCATATGTATATCAAAACATATTGTATTTTAAAAATCTATATAATTTTTATCAGTTATACCTCAATAAAACTGGGGGAAAAAACATTGGGATGTATCAGGTTGGTTCCCCTTCATGATCTGGTTAGGTAAGCCGTCCTTGATGTTTTTAAAATGAATTTTCAACCTCCAAAAAATTTCAGAATGATATACCCTAGGAAGACATATGACAGCAAGAAAAGGCTTCATTTATTTAGTAACATCAAATAAATTGATATTTCTTGGAACCTGAAGCTTTCTCCTTCAATAAACAACAAAGCATTTCTTATTTGAACCACTTTTGAGAGAACTCTTGCCAAACTACATGATGTATTTCTGTGCTTTTTGCAGTCAGGGAGTACTAAACACACATTTCTTAAGAGCTTAGGGTCATAAGCTTCCCTAAGGAAAGAAACAGAAGGGAAATAACAGCAGGGTAGGGGAAGACACAGAACAGGAAAATAAACATCTAGTTCTTTCCTGCAAATCAAGTGATATATGTGCACTAGTTAAAAAAATAGGTAAATAAAAGGTGTGATCATGCATTGTTCAGTATGCGAGTTAGATGTGTAATTTTACATTTTCCTGATTCCTGCTTTGATATCTGCTCTGAGAGCCACTTCCAGTCTCTCTGTGAACCTCAAAGGACCTGCAAGGCATCTCTTTAACCTGATGCTCTGAACACTCACCATCATCACAGTCGCTAGTGGTTGTTGTGGTTTATCATGTGCAGGCCACAGGGCCATGTGCTTAATGTGGATCGATTTGTTTAATGCTTTCCTTTCAGTGGCTCCATGTGACAGACACTCTCATCAGGACCACTTTCAGACAAGCAGCAAGCAAGCACAGCACATGCACGGCTGCATTCTGGGAGGTGCAGAAGCAGAATCTGAAGCTGGTCAGTCAGAGTCCAGAGTACCCCTCTGACCACCATGCCCCAGTCCTGGGCATCCGAGAGGGGCTGAGAGCAAGGATGTATCATAGAAGAACAAGCGAGGGTTTGCAGCTAGCTGGGGCTGTGGCTCCAGAGCAGAGGCCCCTTCATCCGACGGAGGAGATGCCCTGTGAGTGGCCGGGCATAGGGAAATTCTGTAGAAGGTAATGAACGCCACATCTTATCAACTCTTCCACACAACCCTGCCTCGCTCACCTTGAAAGAAAAATGTACTTTGTAAAATGCACAATTGTGCAAATGGCAGTTTTTATCATCAGATTTCAGAATATGCAATATGCAATAGTCCATGATTTTGGACATGACAAAAGCAAACTAACAGCAAGTGAAAAGAATATTCAGCTGAGTCTCCGGGAGACAACCGGCAAATGATGGAGCCATGTTCCAACAAAGACCTTCTGAATCCCCGTTTGCTTCCCCACTGAAAGGCTGTTTTCATTTGATGAACACAGACAAAAAAAGAGGATCTGCTTTGTTTCCCATACTTTTTGATGCCTCTTAGGCTTTCTACCAGTGTGAAGCCCTGGGGTAGACTCTAGTGATTAGAATCCAGTCTATGTATGGCATGGAACAGTAGCCTTTAGTTATCGTTTGAATGGCATTACTTACAGTTACAGGTATTTTTGAAATGCAAAACAATTGGCTCTATTTCTTGACAACTGTCACCTCCAATCAATACTGTGATCCAACCAAACTGAGTTAGGTGCAGTTCCCAGGTAGATTACAAGCCGCCTTGTCTCAAAGCCACCCTCCTGCTGGAATCCCCTCTCTGCCCTCCATCCCATATCCATCCTCACCCCAACATCCATCCTCAGGATTCACCACGATCGGTGCCGCCACTGCTATGATAAACATACATCTGCAGACAGAAAGAGACTTGAAAGCAATATGCTAGAGGAAAAACATAATTTGTTTTCAGATTACAGGTGAATTCTAACATTCTTTTTATATAGTGTGTTTTAATGTTAAAATTTTATTGAATTTCCAACTTGACAAATATAAGTGAATCTATCAAAAATATGAATGTTTTATTTCTGTAAAATTCCAATGATATTTTACATTCTGTTTGGGAAATGTTGACTTAGGCAAAACAGTTCATTAGTTTATAGAACCAGCATTGTTAATTCTGAAGTCACTTCCTGAAAGAACTCTGATAGGTTAAAACAAGCTTAAAAATACACACACAAGGTGTATCTTATCCCAAGACACTGACATGTTACTGATATTCCCACCACTCACCAATAAAAGAATGTCAGGTTTCCCCACGAGGGCCAGCGCTGTGGAGAGTTTCCGCTTGGTTCCCCCACTGTAGGTGGCCACAGGCTTATTCGCGTGGGCTTCGAGGTGTAAGCGCCTCACGAGGTCTCCGGCAACCTGGAAGGGAGGAAGTGTCCGTGAGCACCACTCGGCAGAGTGCCCGCCAGACATGGGTCTCAGCCCTGACTCCTGCACCGTCCTCTCACTACCCCCGCCACCCCTCACACATACAGCAAGTGCATCTCCTGGGACATCCCTCTTTGCGATACGAGAAGTAAGTGAGAATGAGCAGGTGGGGTTTTTCTCTGTGCCTGGAGACGCCAAGTGAGGGTCAGAATGCTGGGCTCAGGGGGTCGGGGGAGTCCGGTGGGAGAAAGGAAGACTCCAGGCTGGACCCGCGTGAATATCCACGTTAAGGTGAGCGGAGGAGGGTGAACCAAAAAGGAGACTGAGAAGGAACTGAGCGGGAATGAAACCAATAGAGAGAAAGGACAAAGCTTCAAGGGAGGAAAGAATTGAAGGAAAGAGTTTTCAATATTAAAACAGGGAAAGAAATAGCCCCTTGATATTGAGGAGCCACGGTCAGAGTTTGCACACTCAGAGTTTCGTTTATAAACTAGTGGTGGGGGAGAGAATGGGGAAATGTTTCCTCCTCACAACTGTTGGAAAGCATTTTATGAAATCCCCGGGGATGGTGACTGCGTTCACCAAACCTCACCCTCTCGGCCACGGGAATTCTGACGCTTCCCAGGTGCCTGGCACTCACGGCCCCTTTATTCCTCCCAAGCTTTCAACCAGCCAGCTTTTCACACATCCTCAGAGGCTCAGCCTATTTCCACATCTCTCCTCATCAGAAATAATTGTCACCTCTTCTGTGTATTATATGTGTCTATGGAACATTTTTATTTAGCATTTCCCAGTGTAATTTGCACCACACTGTATTCTGTTTCCAGTTCTGTCTCCTGTGCTGGATTTGGTTCCTCTTGGGGCCCAAATTAAGCAACTTCTTTGTTTCCAACTCTGCATGATTTAAACATTTTTGCATTTTATTTCACTCTTGTGACCACAGAGGTATTTATGTCGGTTCATTTTTAAGAGACCATCATATAGCC